TGCTTCTGTTCGTGCTCGACGACTCCCCTCTTCGCGCCTCGACTGCGCCTCCCTATCCCCCCCCGACCTGCCGCCCCCTCCAAATAAGGCTACGTCCTTGACGTGCGCGCTCTGCACCCCCTGCTGGGCGACCCGGAGCGCGCCTACGTGCTGCTCTACGGCTCACTCTGGCTCTGGGCCCTCGCAAACCTCTCGGGGGAGTTTGCTCTGCTGGCGCGGCGCTGCGTCGGTGCGCACGGCGCTTGTTTTTCGGCCGTGCTGGTGCCGCAGCGCTGCGTTGAGTACGTGCTCGGGACCAACAAGGTGGGGGCGGCGGGGGTGGCGCGGCCTGGATAACCTTGGACGGCATGCAACGTGATCTGACCTGGTGCACGATCCGAGGATGCATGCAGATGGCGATCCCCACAGACGAGGTGCCGTTTCGGTCCGCCCGCTCGCTGCGGTGGCGCGGCTCCCGGACGCAGCCCCCTTTGACCGCCCTTTGACTGCTGCGTCCCGCGGCATCGCGGCGGCGCGCGCGCGCGGCCTGCTCACCTCTCCAGGTGCTGTCAGCTGTCGCCTTCAGGGGCACCCTCGAGGGCGCCTTCGGCCCCGACGGGCCCGCCCAGATGCACGCCCGCCGTCACGCGGCCTCCATTGGATGGAAAAACGCATACGTCCCCCTATCAAGCGGCGGCGGGGGCTGCAACACCATGGAGGTGGCCATGTTTGCAGACAGCAAGGTGCGGGGGCACTGGCGTGGGCACGTGACGGCGGTCCTGCCTAGTATTGAGGAGGACTTGTTCTGCCTTGCACCAAGGAGAGCTGTATCAGCAGTGTGGCTGTTGCTGTTGTGGGCTGCGCGGGCGCGGGATCGCACACGCCCCTGCTTGCAACCCCTCAATGGCACCGGCAACGGCGCGCGTCGCCTCACTTGCGGGGGAGTCACGCAAGTGAGGCTCCCCCGCGAACGCTCAACCCCCCAGGTGGATGACGCGCCCCAAGAGTCCCCGCCCCTCCCACCGCCGGCGGCCCAGCTGCCACCCGCTGCTGCTGCGGCGGAGCCGGCGGCAGGGGGCACGCCCGATGGGGCTGGATTCGTGGTGGGTGCCGGGGAGCACGTGACAGGCTGGCAGCCGCAGCACCAGCACCTGGCGTCACCTGCGGCGGCCGCCGGTGGCCCAGGTTACGGGGCGCCGTGGGACCCGCAGCAGCAGCAGCAGCAGCAGCAGCAGCAGCAGCAGCAGCAGCAGCAGCAGCAGCAGCAGCAGCAGCAGCAGCAGCAGTATGACCATTGTTACTACCAGCAGCAGCAGCAGCAGCACCACCCTTACCCGGCATACGGCGCGCGTGCAGCGTACGAGCTCGATGACGTGTACAGCAGCCCCTACTACGCGGCGCCGTGGTCATGGCCAGCCCCTCCGCCGCCCCTGCAGCCGTCCCCGGGCCCGCGCGCCGCATGGGCCCCGCCGGCGGCCGAACCTGCGGGCGCCCATCCGAGCGCGGCCCCGGCCCCGGCCCCGGCCCGGCCCATGGTAAGCCTGGCGCCTGCCCCAGAGCCTCCAGAGATCACGCGGCACCTGAGGATCCCCGGCGTGGTGAGCTGTCGCCTCCTGAAGACTCGCCTCCGGCTTGTATCATCTCCACACCGTACGCACGGGCGCGCACCGCGGCTGCTCTCGCACCTTGCGTTTGCAAAAATTTGATCCTGGCGCCCCCGGCGGCGGCGACGCCCCAAGGGCCCGGGGGTCAGCCAGACGGCCCAGCCCTGCAATCGTCGACCGCTCGCGCAGGGGCGCGCCACGACGAGGCTGCCCAGCCCCTCCCTGCTGCCCCGCCCCCAAATTTGCGAGCGCCCAGGGATTGCCCGGTGTCGCCACTCGGCCGCCCAGGCGCCGCTCGCGCCCGCTGCGCCGGACGCCCACCCCCCTGCCCCGCGGCGCCGCGCTGCCCCCCCTGTCGCCCAGGCCGCGCTGGCGACCCATGGCACCCTGCTGAAGGTCTTCGAGCGTTTCGGGCCGATCGCGTCTGTTGACATCATCAAGAGGAACATGACCGCCTACGTAAACTTTGAGTTTGCAGAGGACGCGGCGGCCGCGGTCGTCGCGATGCAGGGCCAGGTGTGCTGCTGCGGTTGGGCTGCCGGCTCGCCTGCGCGGCGCCCGCAACACGCATGCGCACGTGCGCACACGCGCGCGCGCACACACACACACACACACACACACACACACACACACACACACACAACCCCCCCCCACACACAGACACGCACGCACGCACGACACACACACACACACAC